GTTCGGTTTCGACCAACCCCTTTCCGTGTTCTTCATGCAGCGTGTGCTGAAGCTCACCATCTCTACAGCAATACGGTATCTTTCGCACAGATGGACTTCAATTATATTTCAACATGGCAGGCTTCCGACTGTGTAGCCGAAGTGCTAAGCTGCTACAGACTTAGTTTTATAGTGCTGAGGTTCGGAGACGTGGCTTGAAGGACTCTGAGATCGTGTGCACCGACCCCCTCGACTTATTCCCTACCACAACGAGTTCCACGCATGAGGTCCGCGACTACACTGGGGCCGGGAAACCTTCGCCATGAAACCTCGAGCCTAGGCCCTAGAGGGCCTGAATGCCATAACCCGACAGCTCACCCTGAAGCATTAAGCCCTCAACCCGAGCCCAAGATTCACCCAGAGACCTGCAAGGCCCTCAAATGAAGGCCCATTATCAGGAAAAGCAACATGCGATTCAAGGGTCATTCGGGTAAACTGCAGATTCTAGTTTTTCATCTCAGCAAATCCTATACCATATCCCTGGTTGACCGAATTTAAGCCGAGTATTGCCAGATCGAAGGACTTTGAAGTACAGGAAGCTCCTTGCGAACCCTTTCACCCGCTGCGTTATTCATCAGAAACTGTCGGGTCGTTGAGGTCTGGGAACCCGCGGAAACAATCCAAAACCGCTCTGCGTAGCGCCTCGGACCCTCCAATTCCCTATGCGACCCCCGAAAACCGCACACAACTTTTTTGGATTAAGCTCTGGCAGCTGATAATCATCTGGCATTCCCTGGCCTCTACTCGGAGCTCTATCCCAGCGATAGTGGCTGAACACCGAGCTCAGCCCTCAAACACTAAGCCCAAACCCAAAGCCTTAGCCTTGAAAGCGAGCCATTCGAAGGCCCTAGTGTAGGGGCCTTAATAATAATTGGAAGAGGGTTTTGGGGGTTTCTTACTATAATTATAATAGTATAATATACATCAAAGCTTATACTAGTTATTTTAATGATTAAGGCCCTCTATATTAAAAACCCTACACACCCAAACCCTGAGCCCTAAAAGCCCTTAGCCAGCCTTCTTCTTCCGCAAAAACAGCCGAAGCTTCGGGCGCAGGGGCCTCCTCCAGCGCCTTAGAGATTCAGAATGGCTCAGGGTGTAAGGCTTTGGGTTTACGGGGTTCAGGGGGTTCAGGGGTTGGGTATCAGATCTAAAGCCTTGATAGTGCCTGTGCTTGCGGATAGTTCTGGACAGACACGATCAAACGAAGCTATTTGCTACGCCTCAAGAGCAATCACAATGGGCACCCAAAATAGTTTTGAAATTTGGGCCCTGTCCACCCTTAAACCGCAATCCCAAACCCTACGAGCCTCAAAGCCTGAACACCTGATATAGATGCATGAATTATTAGCCCAAGGCCGTTGGGAGATTCGATTGAATCGAGACTATAAATGCATTGGGGAACCGCAAAGGGTATCATGTGACTTTTCAGGAGGCTTCTGTCCAAACGCATGTATACCTTTCTACATATACAAACTTAAAAACTATACTGAACTTAGACCCCTAGCAAAAGTTATAATTTTAGCTGCTTCTTAGGGTTTATAGTAACCAAAGATTAAAAATTATTTCTTAGTACACCTAAGAAAAACTGGTGAAAGCATGCAGCCCCAGAAGCCCGCTGAGCTCCCAAACCCTGAACCGAACCGTAAGCCCTAAACCCCTAGGGTTTAGGGTTTAGGGTTTAGGGAAAGTCGCTCAACCGCAAAGCCTAAACCCTGAAGCCCTAAAGCTCCACCGCACAAACACCGTGGGCACCTGCTCGTCCTTCCAACTGGTCGGCTCCTGCCCGACATCGTGGTTTTATTAGGGTTTGGGTTTAGGGTTTCGGTTTTAGGGTTTTGGGGCCCCCAGCAGTCGCTATGAATTGGTATCTCTATAGGACCATGAGGGAAGTTGTCAAGTTCCCCTAAGTGCCACCTAGCATAACTCATGTTTCAGGGTTTGGGGCTTAGGGTTCCAATGTCCCGCGCGGCGGCTACTGATGTCAAGGATCAGGGACTTCGTCAATAGCTTCGGAGTAGGATTGTAATTCGGAAACCTGCTTAAGGTAGTATGACTCTACTGATAACCTACTGCACTTACTAAGTCCTGAGCCTGTCAGTAACTGACCGACTCGCACTGCAGGGATAACGCTAGCATAGACGCCTGAATGATGTGTAATCCTGTTTTCTTTCGCGGTTCCTTCTTCTGCCAGTATTTTATACACCATAACGCTATTCTAAGCACTAAAACCCTTTTGCGGCGGGCTTATCTCGTCGCCCGGAAGCTCCCTCTGCCCGCGCACTTTTACCCTGAACGCTGAACCATAAACCCTTGCTAACTCTAAACCCTACACCCTATACCCCTAAACCATAAACCTTATAAACCCTATACCCCAAAACCCTCGAAACCCTAAACCCTATACCCCTAAACCCCTAAACCCTAAACTCCTAAACCCCACACCCTATTATTCTCCTAAACC